AATCATGTTGGGCCACAGAGGATGGGTCGGAGCCCCCCCTGCCACACAGGCAGGATTTCTCCCAAAGAAGATGGGCGGGATTTCCCAAGGCACGTCTTAAGGGCTGCAGTGGGCGGGCTGGTTGAATTTCCCTTGGAGGAAGGTTGGTGGAATTTCCCCCGCCTAGGGTTACACTGCAGAGGGTTGAGTTCTCCCAGCTGGGTGGAGGGTAGGCATAAATGCCCTAGGGAAGTGCCTGCAGGTCGCCAGTGGCATGTGAGAGAAATGGGAAGAGAAAAGGAAAAAATAAAAAGTAAAAAACAAAACAGGCTCCTAAGACTGTGAGGGGAAAGAGAGAAGAGTGATAAACCAAAGTAACAATATAGCTGAGCCCTGATCCCTGACCCTGGGGCTGGAGGGGTTTAAAACCTGCCCCCAGGTGGCAGCAAACTGTGACTGTGTTGCGATAAAGCCCCTGCACCGACTCCAAATGGTCCTGGCTCTGGCCGAGACTGTTGTGGGGCTAAGGTTAAACCCTAGCTGGCCTCCAATGTGGTAAGCCAAAAGTTCCTAGCTCCTCAAAACCTAGTGGATCTGTGCCTACTTATCTTTATGATGCTCCTTCTGCAATGTGGCGATGTGGAATTTCCCTCTTAATAGCTCTCCTGCACTGATTTCTGCAGAGTCCCTCTGTTATGCGTTACTCAGTCACCATCTTGCCGGAAGTCTGTAGTTTTGTTTTTAGTGAGCCTCTTTTTCTCCAAGGTTTTCTAGAGTCTCAGTCATTGTGGGTTTGGTTTCTGAGCCTGCTTTTCTCTTTAGGCCACATCCCCTCACCAGTCTCAGCAGTCTACTGTGGATGTCGGCCAGCTCCATGACCCTCAGACGTACACCCAGCATGCCATCCAGGTGCAACACATCCAAGTCACTGAGTCAACCTCCTCAGCTCCTTCAGCATCCCAGGTAAATTCTCCAGGGACTTGCCAGAGAAGCTAACATGGCTGCAGGCCCATGAGGAATTAATAAGGGTGAAGAGAAGAGACATCCGGGGCTTTAAATTGGTTCTTCCTGGTTCAGTTGTGACTGAGGACGTGAAACTAGAACAGACCCAAAGTTTTAAGATTTTGGTGAACTAGAGCAGTAACTAAAAGAGAAAAATTACTCCAGAAACTTAATCTCCTTCTTAGAAAATAATAACAGTATATGCATTGCATGGCAATCAGATCTCTTGTCTGTTGAATTTTGAGCAGTGCTGGAAACAACGTGCTCTGTGAAGATATAATGGTTAACTGCATTGCTTTGAATGCATGTCACTCTCTACCAAAAAAACCAAACTGAAAGAAAACACTATATCTACTGTCACTGAGTTGGTTCCAACTCTGAGTGACCCTATAGGCAGAGTAGAACTGCTGCTTTGGGTTTTTCCTGAGGAGTAGAAAGCCTCATCTTTCTTCCAAGGCTGGTGGGTTTGAACTGCTGACATTGTGTTTAGCAGCTCAGTGGGTAATGCACTGGGCCACCAGAACTCTTAGGTCAGTCTTCACATCCTGCCACGAATCCAGGTTCATGCTCTTGAAAGAGTGCACTACAGCTCTTCCAAGTCTCTCATTTCAGGCCTTTGACCTGTGTAATTTCCCATTTCTGTTATTGTGCCCAATCACCCAAATTTTAAAAATTCAGGTCTGTCCCAGTTTCACTTTGTCAGGATTGAAGTGGGATAAACTAAAGGTTGGAAGCCCTAAAGACATGATCTTAAGGCAAAGGCCTGCCTTCATTTCTTAGTGCTGCTAAAACAGGTATACAACAAGTGAGGGGCTTTCAAGCATCCAAATTTATTTCCTCAGTGTTTAGAGACTAGAAATATGGATTTCAGGAACCAGCTCTAGGAAAAGGCTTTCTCTTTCTGTCATCTCTCGGGGACAGCCCTTCTTGCTTCAGCTTCTGTTCCCACCTACCTTTGCTGTCTTCATGTAAAGTGACACACATCAGGGAAGGGCCCCATTTGCAAAAAAAATGTTACCGTATATACTAGAGTATAAGCCAACCCTAATATTTACCTAATTTACCACAAAAACTGCATAAAAATGTGCAGAAAAACTTGACTTATACACGAGTATATACAATAAGCATGTTATCTGTGTAAAACTGTGGTGATTTTATTTTCATTAATTTCTCTAACAACTTGATTGAAATTACCTTTTGGGACACTTTTGTATATAAGCCTATGAAAGCTAGAGTTTTATAGTTCCGCTTGCTTTTCATTCATTCTTTTTTATTTGGCATATTGTTTACCAACAATGCTTTCAGTATTATAACTCATATTATTGTTATTGTTAAATGATATCCAGTTGACGTGTGCTCATAATGACCCCAGGAGACAAAGAAGTATTGCCCCATAGGGTTTTCCAGGCTGTAGTCCTCAGAGAGGCAGACTCCCAGGTCTTTCTCCCATGGAGTTGCTAGCTGGATTTAACCTACCAACCTTTTGCTTAGGAACTATTTAATGAAGATGCCATCAAGGTCCTTGTAATTCCTATGTCTTTTTAAAATTCTTATTTTTGTGTGATTTGAGTGAAGGTTTCCAGAGCAAATTAATTTTTCATTCAACAGTGTGCGAGCATTTTGTTTCATGATATTCTTTGCAATTCCCTTAATGTAACAGGCGTCTTCCCACTTCCTCCTTGTTGTTTTAGGTGCCATTGAGTCAGTTCTGAGTAATAGCAACCTTATGTACAAACAACAGAACAAAACCCCATCTGGGTCCTGTGCCATCCTCACCATTGCTCTCATTTTTGAGCCCATTGTTACAGCCACTGTATCAGTATATTTTGTTCAAGGCCTTCCTTTGTTTTGATGCCCCACTACTTTACCAAGCATGATGTCCTTATCCAGAGACTGGTCTCTCTTGACAACATATCCAAAGTATGTGAGGCGAAGTCTCACCATCTTTGCCTCTTATAAGCTTTCTGGCTGTACTTCTTCCAGGACAAATTTGTTTGTTTTTCTGGCAGTCCATGGTGTACTTTCAATATTCTTCACCAACACTGTAGTTCAAATAAATCAATTCATCTTCAATCAAACTTATGCAATGTCCAGCTGTCACATGCATAAGAGGTGATTGAAAATACCATGGCTTGAGTCAGACCCACCTCAGTCCTCCTTGAGCTCCCCGTATTGATTTATCCTTTTTTCCTGACCTTTCTTGCCTTCTGATCTTTATTTTAGGGCAAATATTGCTCTTTTGGTCTCATATGGTTAATTGTTCTGAGGTCTATACGCCTCATGTGTGTTACTGTTCACTTTATAGACCTGTGTATTGTTTTGCTGGAAGTTGACACGCAGGCCTGGAATTCATATTCATCTTACTTATTTACTTGAGATAGTTTTCTCAACCAAATTGGAAATTCATGACTTCCCACTCTTGCTTTCTCTTTCTCCCTAGGTAGCTGGACAACCATTGAGTCCCTCTGCCCAGCAGTCTCAACAGGGGCTTAGCCCCTCCCACATACAAGGCAGTTCCTCGGGGCAAGTTCAGTCTCTTCAACAACAGCAACCGCAGCAGCAGCAGCAGCAGCAGCAGTCACAGCAGCCACCGCAGCAGCAGAGTTCGTCGGTGCAGCACACATTCCTACCCAATGCTTGGAATTCCTTTCGTGGCTATTGTAAGTCAGGGAAAAAGGGATGGTGCATCTCCAACTATTGGTCATAATTTTATCAACTTTATAATAGACTTTTCTGGGCTTCAGTATCAACTGGTCATTTTCTATATTCTGGAGTGCTCATAAGGAGCCCTGGTGATGCCGTGGGTTAGGGATTGGGCTGCTGGCCACAAAGGACAAGCCCACCAAACTATCTTGCAGCTGAGAAATGAAGCTGCCTGCTCCCATAAATATTGACTGGCTCAGAAATTCTAAATTGCTCGGAGCAATTCCTTCTATCCTATAAGTTCACTATAAATAAAACCAGCTCCGTCGCAGTGGGTTTGGGTTTGGGATAGTGCACATAGCCAAAAGAGATTCATGACTACCCTCAATATAAGGGGAGAATATATTAATGTAGGAAGTGTTGATGGTAATGTTGAATCTTTTTTTGGTAAGTATTGCTGAATGCTCATGTATGTCAATCATGCTAGACTCAGAATATACAAAGATTAATATTAATAACATTCAAAATAATGTTCGCTCATATTAATTAGTGGGAGCATTTTTTGTTCAGTGGTACAATTATCACCTTACATGAAGGAGACCCGCTATCAGTGGAGGCTTATGTATTGCTATGAAAGCTAAACGGTGTCAGTAAAGCTTCCAGATGAAGATAGAGAGTAGGAAGTAAGGATTGGTGACCTACTTCTGAGAAGCAGCCAGTGCAAAAGTTTTATCAATCACGCAGTTCAGTCAACAACTGATCATGGGGATGGCAAGGACTAGACCCTGTTCACTATTTTGTTGTCCATGTAGTTGCCATTTGATGGCAGCTAACAACAAAAAACAAAATGCATCAAGCTCTTCTCTGTTCAAGGAATGGTCCTAAACACACACTTTCCCTTACCCATTCTCTCTCTGTATTTAGAACCCCCCCCCCCACGTATTTACAGCAGGTAAGTAAGATTCTTATCTGCATTTTTCAAAGAAAGCAATTTAGATATAGAGTAATTTGCCCAAGGCACACCCCTGATAAATGAAGAAGTTAAGCCCAGGTACTCTAACTCCAGAGATTACTCTCTAAACCACCCTGCTGCTCTGCTGCCTCCCCGAGCAAGACAGTTTTGGGCTTGAAGAGACCAGCATCTAGTAAAAAAGGTAGTTATATAAATGGTTGATTCTCAAACCCTGAGGTCAATGCTATAGACATAGCTGCAAGAAGGACAGAATAGCTAAAAAGTGTAATGATCATGACACGCTTGGGTATAGACTGGAAATGAAGATGTACAAGGAACATCAAAAGCGGCCATAGTTGGATTGATAGAGCGACCTAGCAGGGTGGAGCTGAGAAGAGAGGAAGGTTAGTGTTGTCCTTTCTCCTTCCACTGGCTCCTCCTTTTGAATGTCCACCCCTGTTGTGAATGCTCCGTGGCTGTGTTAGATAGGTTTGTGTGGAGTCAGGCTCATAGCCTACCAGGTAGTTATTTTTACAATCTGTTTTCCTAATAGATATGCGTGGCCATAATGAGGGCTGAGCCTAGTTTCCAGGCAAGAAAAGATTCTTTTACATGTGGTAAATGCCAGTAGAATTTTGTTAAATAGATAAACATTTGTTCTCAGTTTAATTCTTGTGAAAGAAAACAAATTGCGGCCATCTAGCTCAGAAGCAACAGAGCCCACATGGAAGAAGCACACACCAGTCTGTGTGACCACGTGGTGTTGAAGGGATCAGATATCAGGCATCAAAGAACAAAAAAATCATATCATTGTAAATGAGGGTGAGTTCAGAGTGGAGACTCAAAACCCATCTGTAGGCAACTGGACACCCCCTTATTGAAGGGTCATGGGGAGGAATTGAGCCAGTCAGGATGCAGGGTAGCAACGATGATACATACAATTTTCCTCTAGTTCTTAAATGCTTCTTCCCTCAACTCTCATGATCCCAAATCTACCTTACAAATCCGGCTAGACCAGAGGATGTACACTGGTACAGATAGGAACTGGAAACACAGGGAACAGGGCGGATGATCCCTTCAGGACCAGTGCTGAGAGTGGCGATAGTGGGAGGATGGGGGGAAGGTGGGGTAGAAAGGGGGAACCGATTACAAGGATCTACATAGAACCTCCTCCCTGGGGGATGGACAACAGAAAAGTGGGTGAAAGAAGACATCGGACAGTATAAGACATGACAAAATAATAATTTATGAATTATGAAGGGTTCATGAGGGAGGGGGAAGTAGGGAGGGAGGGGGAAAATGAGTAGCTGATATTAAGAGCTCAAGTAGAAAGCAAATGTTTTGAGAATGATGATGGCAAAAAATGTACAAGTGTGCTTGACACAATGGATGGATTGTGATAAGAATTGTACGTGCTCCCAGTAAAATGATTAAATCTGTATTAATACTATTATGTGCTAGCATTCTAACTTGAAAGAAAGAATGTGGAATGGAAATTTTCTATTGGGAAAAAATTTAACCTATACAAAAGTAGAGTAAACAACATGAAGAACCCTTATGTGCCTGTTTTCCATCCTACAAGTTAATAATGCAAGGTCTGCTTCCTTTCCTCTATAGCCCCAATCATTCTCTCCCTGCGCTGCAGATGAATTATCATCCAGACATCTGACTGTTTCATCCACACAAATTGTATATGTATCTCTGCAAGAAAAGTAGTATTTTAAAAAAATAACACCACTACCGTGATTATATGTAAAGATGAATAATAGTAATTCCTTAGTACCTTCAACTTTATGATTAGCTCATAAATGTTTTTGTCTAATATACATTGTGTATGCGTGTGCATACCTATACATACCTGTCAGTGTGCTGTACTATAGTGGCTTGTGTGTTGTGGTGTTGGTGGAAGCTGTGTCACTGGTATTTCAGATGCCATCGGGGCACTGAAAACAAGCAGGTTTCAGTGGAGCTGCTGAAAATGAATGGGCTGTGTACTTTGGAGGTCTTAGCCGCTGAAAACCTTACAGATAGCATCAGAACATTAGACACTGAACACCTCATGCATAGAAGCAGAACATTGTCAGAGATCGTGCCAGAAGATGCTGGAAGGCGCTCAGAATGAGACTGAGGAGAGTAAAGCCTGCAGAAGTAAAGCCTTCGGGACCTTCATTTGCTGACGGGGCATGACTCAGAATGAGAAGAAACAGCTGTAAACATATATTAAAAACTGGACCTGAAATGTACAAAGTATAACTCTAGGAAAACTGGAAGTTGCCAAAAACGAAATAGACTTTCAAACAAACAAAAAATAGAATGCATACATACTGATATTCTAGGCATTAGTGAGCTGAAATGGATAGAATTGGCCATTTAAATCAGAAAACCATATGGTTTGCTATGGCAGAAATCAGTGATTCAAGAGAATGG